GAAACCCTAATAAATTAATGCAAATAATAATCGGAATTGGCATGTGGGATTTTTCTTGAGTTCTACATGACGAAATATGATAACAAGATTTTTAGTGGAATTTTCAGAGCTCTAGAAATAATTTTAACCAATTAAAATTGAGCACAAGCATTATTTAATCCCTGGAAATTCTTTTCCGTTTTCTTTTTTCCTTTTTCCCCTCCTTTTCCCCAAATGGGCCGCCGGCCCATTTCCTCCCCTTCCCGCGCCTTTGCTGGGCTGGCCTAAGGCCACGGCCCAGCCGCTTGCCTGAGCCCCCCCTCTCCCCCCTCGGACGCTAATAGGTGGGGCCCACCTGTCAGGCCCATCCCTAACCTCCGGCCGCCCGCCATCTGCAGCTGCCGCCTCGCAACCGCCCGCGCCCGCCTTCACCGCGCCACGTCGGCCACGCCCGTGCGTGCGTCCGCCCCTCCCACACCCCTCAACCCCCTCTCCCGCTCTCGCGCGCCCCTGAGACGGCCGGGATTCGAATTTCGAATCGCGCCTCTCTCTCCACCTCCACCTCCCCACGTCGGCCGGCAAAATCGGGCCACTCCCGGCCGTTCCCGACCTCTCCGCCCCTATATAATCCATCCCCGCATCCTCCTCCTCATTTTTCCTTTTTCCGCCGGCCTCTCCCGAGCTCTCCATCGCTCCCGAACCGTGCACCCACCCGCCGCCGCCTCTTCCACTACTCCGGCCACCTCTAGCCGCCGCTAGGGCCACCGCCGCACCGCGCCGTGAGCTCCCTGCCGCCGTTCGATCTACCCTTGGGTACATCGGGGCCGTCGGTCCGGCATGGCTACCAACAAAACCATGCACCCACAGCCCACCCGTTAACATATTTTAATTAACCAATACCGGAGCGGTGGCATTAACCAACGTCCTACTAGAATCTGATATCTAAGTATTAAGGTGATTTCCCCCATTGTTGGTCTCGCCCATGGCATTTAAGGACCGGTTCGTGGGATGCCCTGGAAGAACTTATCGTACTTACCACAAGCCAGCGTGGGCAACGGCTGGGCTTGTAGTGTAGCTTTCCTCTAGTTGACGCATCCAGGCAAGGGTGGGCGTGATGGAGCGGGGCGGGCCCTGAGACGGCCTCTGTCGCTTCCGGATTCACCTAGGCACGAGAGGGGACTGCCCGTTGCCTGCTGGGGACGGGGGTGAAACCTGAGGTGTGGTGTGCTTGGCTAGAGGGGGTTATGTGAAGGGTCCTGTCACGGCCTCTTTCCGGTATGTCGTGGTGGCATGTCGCCGCACGGAAACGTGTCGTGGGGCTGTGTCTTGTGGGTACAGTTGTACACCTCTGATTAGAGTAAAACTATTCGAATAGCCGTGTCCGCGGTTATGGGCGGTCAACCAGATTCACCGTGATTAGTCTCACCCTAGTTTAGTCTGATGGAACTGATTAGTTCAGGTGGTTGGTTGGGCCTATTGCAACATGGTGTAGCGTTGAACAGTGGATGGTTAATATTGATTAATTATTACAACTGTTTTACTGTTTTCAACTACAGCTTATGAATGCTCGCTTTATGCAAAAGAACCTCTCTAGCTATCCTTTGGTAATATCCTGCATCATACCCCCTGTTCCGGTATGACTTGCTAAGTACAGTGGGTAGTACTCAGTCTTGCTTTATGTTCCCCAAAACCCCAGAGTTTGAGTATGCGTCAGATGGTGGCTTTTCCGAGGAGTAGGCTTCGTCCGTGTCGTCGAGGATGCCTGTGGAGTGGTGTTCCCGCTGCAGTTCAAGTCAAGGCTTAGCTCCAGTTATCTTTTGTTTTTTCGCTGCATTTATGAAAGACTTTTATAATGTTTGTAAGACGTGGATCTGTATGTCAACTTTGTCGTTTGTGTACCCCGGCCGGTCCTGGACCGGGATTTTAATGCACATTCTGCTTGGAATTCTATTCGGGAATTTCTGAGCGTGACAGGATCGGGCTCCCATAATGGGCGATCAGTCGCGCTCCCCACGAGCCGCGTGGTCAGTTTCTGACTCTATAGTCTCTTTCATCTACTACATCTATATACGTATGTGTATACTTTATATACCAATGTATATAAAGTATATACATATATATATATATATTCTAATATGTATATACACATACATTAAATGTATGTATATGTCGTATACAAAGTTTGTGTATATACATATATATATTCTAATATGTATATACACATACATAATGTATGTATATGTCGTATACAAAGTTTGTGTATAGTGTATATAAAGTTTGTGTACGGCGTATACAAAGTTTATATATGTATTTATACAAAATATACCAACTTTATATACGTATATATACAAAGTTTGCACTCTATATATAAAAAGGTACACATATACAAAGTTTGTATACATGTATACAACTTTGTATATGTTTGTATTAAAAAACCGAAAAACCAGAAAAAAAATACGGAAAGAAAAAACAGAAAAAAAAACCGTGCGCCAAAAAAAAGTATCGATACTAAAAGAAGAAAAGAAAAAAAAACTGTGCGTATAAAAAGAAAAAAAAACGCATGCCGCCCAGAAACCGTGCGAAAAAAACAAAAAAAAACGCACGCCACCCGCGCCCCGCCCCCTCAGCGCACGACGCGTGTCTAGTCGCATGGGGAGGGCGCATGCGATTGATCGCCTATTAGCGATTTCGGAAAGGATCACTCTCTCGGCGCACACGTGCATCGCACGTGAGGAAGAAGGATGCCCCCGGGAGGGAGCTGGGCCAGGAGAGGGGAAATGGCCTAAAAGAGCAAGGGGACGTGAAGTAGACTTTTCCATGAAATTTCCTTAAGGATTTTGAGGAGCAATTGAGTTTGGATTTGAATTCAAATTGTATATTTGAACTCAGGAAAATATGGGGAAGCCAAGGAGGGGAGATCAAGGTGTAAATTCAATATTTTCTAATTGGTTTTGTATTTGGAGACTCGAAGGATTGTTTGAGAGGAATTCAAAGGAAAGGGGAATCGGGATTCAAAATCAACATTTGAACCTAAAACATTACAAGGCTCAAGGAGAGCGCATTGAATCGAAATCTTAATATTTTTGGGATAGATTCGAGAAAGGAAATAAATCTTGGAAGAGTGGTCTCAAGGATCGAGTTAAAATTGAATTCATTTTCTGAGAGTTGGATTCAATTATTTGGAAGGGAGTCAAAGGAAGGTAGAGGGACAGAGAGAGAGAGAAACTTGAGAGGTTGAGTTTGAAATCGATAATTGGTTTCTAGGAAACAAGAGGAGAGTCTAGGTCTCGGAGGTGGATTCAAGGGGTGAGGTTAGGATTTACAAGGTGGATGCTCAGACTAGTTTGGATTCAGGAATTCAACGAGATCTGTGGTTAGGGTTCTAGAAGCGGAATCCGAATGTAAGGGTTCCAACTTCAAAACTATTTCCGAAACGAAAACAGGGATTCGAGTTTGCCGAACTTGAGGTTTGCAATCACGGAACCTTCTCAAGGGGTAACCAAAGATGATTTGAGCGTGGACTCAAATCTTTGGAGAACAACATAAATGGAATATTTGAAGGGGAAATTTCTCGGTAGAGGTTCAGAAGGAGGCTTTGAATACAAGGATGAGACTATTTTTGGGCAGGGATTTTGGGCAGACGATTTAACATCAGGGTATTGAGACAAAGGAGGGATTTTAATTGTGATCTATGGCACAACTTAGACTTGGCACTCAAAGAACGAAATTTTTCGCAATTAGGATTTTCGTAAATTAGTTTTTAACGTCTCACGAAAAGCGGGGCGTTACAAATCGACCGAAAATCCACGATTTTTAATATTCGTCCCGATCCGGACTGACCCAAACTTATTCTTTTCTACCAAAATAAACCGTTCCGCTATATTCTAGAAGCGTTCGACCGGAAAACCATGATTTTGAAAAATCGACCCAGTTTGAACGGTCACGGACTTATTTTTTTATTTGTAAAAAAAACCCCTTTCGCTATATTCTATATACGCGGCGTCCAATTCAATCTTTTGATGGTTATTACCTATTATAAATACGCATAACATCACAATCTTGTTAGTTGTCCCTACCACCGAATGATTCCATATACAGATTTTTTAATGAAATTAACATAAATAAAAGGGTTAATTAGATCCATGCCATTAAAATTTTGCCGGTTTTGAAATATACCATTACTATTTGCGTATTTGTAACGATGAAATTTCTTCTTGTTTCTAATCTAAGTGGTGCCACTGAGATACGTATTTTGCATTTATTGGACAAAAATGCCCTCATCCTCTACCTCTCTCTCGTCCCCATCTTCTACCCCCTCTCTCTTCTGACTGCGCCGCTCACTCCACGGCCATCCCACCGCCGTGTGATGCATCTTGCTCCGCCGCCGCGCCGCTGCCGCTGCCGCCGCCGAGCCGCGCCGCGACGCCCCTGCGAAGGAAGAGAGGAGGAAGGACAAAGGGGAAGAAGGAAGAAGAGGGGAAAAGGGATGGTTTGGTCCAATTTTATCTGGATATGTTCCAAGGGATAATTAGTGGTATCTTTTGAATTTGCTTGAAATTATAATGGCATATTTCCAAATACATGAATACTAGTGGCATATTTCAAAACTAGAAAATTTTTAATGGCATGTATCCAATTAACCCCAAATAAAAAAGAGAAAAATGCATCGCTCCTAGTCAATACGCGGCTGATAGGAGCGGATGCGGCGGCGGTCGCGTAGCATCTAGGTTTGTGGCAGATAGGGGTGGAGGCGGCAGAGGTCTCGTATCTCCCACGGATCTCGGTGAATAGGAGCGTGGATCTCAGCAAATAGGAGCGGATGCGGCGGCCGTCCCCTAGCACCAGCGGCTTGCGGCGCTCACCTGCCACGGGCTGCTTGCGGGGAGTTCGTTAGCGATGCAATCAGCACTTTGAGCAGAATGAGCAGCACAGCAACAACATCTATTTAAGCAGCAGCTGCAGCAATTTCATAAGTACAGTTTCAGCAGCAGCAGCAGTTCAGTTTCATTTCAGCAGTTCAGTTTCATTGCAGCAACAGCAGTTCAGTTTCATTCCAGCAACAACAGTGCAGTTCCAGCAGCAGCACAATTTCCAGCCGTTGCAGTATCATTCCAGCATCAACAACAGCATCATTCTAGCAAACAACACCATTAAAGCATCACACAAGCATCACAAAATGAAGTCACCAATCCAGTTGCAGCTCATTTAATCCTAATATTTAAAAAGGCAACTAAATTTTTTTTGTTCATTACACTCCTTTATAATAATAAATAAACAGCAATGAACTGCAGCCTTGCAACGCAAACAACAGAACTGTGCTTGCGCCGGAATCATCTCAGGGCAACCAGGTGCGCCGCAGTTACACTGCCCAAGGACGTCGCCCAAATGCTGAACTGCAGGAGGAGCTACTGACCTCCTGACAGGGTAAACCACAGCTCCATGATCAGCATCCAGGACATAATTTCAGAAACCAAGCGACAACCAGTCAAGTTAGGACACAGGAGGCAGCTCAATTCTGTAATTTTCTGAAAATGGATTAAATCAAGCTCAATTATGTAATGTCTCTGAAGAATTGGAGACTGAGATAGCAGATGGTTTTAACACAAGCAGATCAAGGCTCAAGACTCGCATTCTCAAGCTTTGAAAAGTCCAAAACATCATTCGTAACAGTTGGCAGTATCACAACGGCAGTGAACTGCTGATTGATTCTAAAATAGTTCCTTTGATTTCACTCAGATGAATTCTTTCAGAAAGTAAAAAAATAGAGGTATTTGAGTAAGAATGAAGGAAGGATCATACAAGAAATTGGCATTATTCTATCATACAGTAATTGTTACTCCAGTCTTTTACAGTAATTAGTATTGCACTGCCCTAACTCTGACAAAGAATTGTTTTATAGTTCTAAATCATTTCAGCTTATTTGCCTCTGTACACACCTAAAATAAATTAAGTGCCTCAGTAAAGCAGCAACTTAAATCAGAATGCTAGAGTATTTGTTTGAGATAAAGGAATGGCCTATCTATTCTACCTGAAACATCTATCAGCCACAGTCCTAAATTAACCACCAATCTGTCATAAGCATAAAACTTGAACACCTAAATGAACAGATTCAGAGAAAATGTTGGAAAATGCTTCGTTACCTGAATCAAATGAGTAGGCGTCAACTACTCCAAATACAGAATCAATGCAGGCAAGTGGCTGGTGGGAAGCAGATCAGAGAGCCGGCTGGAGGGGAGGGAGGATAGCCGGCCAGGGGAAGGCAGAGAGACGCGGCGAGGATGGCAGCGATGTGACTGGGGGATGGCAGCTGGCGGCCGCTAGGAGGGGAGGAGGGGGGCGGTGGCGACGAGGGCCGGCGGAGGGCAACAAGGGGAGAGAAGCGACGGTGGCGGCAACAGCTGAAAAGCGGCGGCGCGGTGTGCCGACGGCACCGGGTGGCAGGGGATGGGTGGCGCGGCCAGGCGAAGGTGGAGGGATGTCGAGGTGGCCGCGCAAACGGGAATGCCGGCGCGGACAGGTCGAGGTGGAGGGGTGTCGCGGCGGCGCACCTGGTCGGCGTCGCACGATGGGGCGTCGCGGCGATGCGAAGATATGGAGGACGATGTGAAGACCGCTGCTGGATGAGAGGATTGCAGGAGGGAAAATGATTGGAACGCGAAATTACCGAAATACCCTTCCACTATAATTAAGAGATGGACTAAAATGCTCCGAAAAATCAACGGTTAGATGCGATCCTACTACACTACTACACCTACCAGTGGGAGGTACCGTAAAACGCCCCCAAAACATAAGAGATTTTGCCTGTGTAGTTATATAGGGACAAAATACCTTATATTTTTGGGACTAGTATATAAGCAGTAATATATGTTTCCTTTCATTCTCTTCTTCGTAAAAAAATTTCTACTGCTGCGTCCATCCTGCCTGCAACATAGATGTGAGCTTGCTAATTTACCGGTGCTGTCCTGTTTTGCTTAAACGATTACTACCAGACAATGCCTAGTCGTTTAGCCGTCAACCCGTACCAGCGGCGAATCCAGGATAGAAAAAGAGGGTAGGCTTGACCTTCAAGTACTAAGTTAATAAAAAGTAAATTGCAGTACTTACAGTAGCTGTTCAACACATTCATGATACATGATTGAATAGAAAAGAAAGAAATAAAGAAAAATACTTTGCCAATGCGAAGTAATTGCTTACATCAGTCATATGAGAATAGAAACACCTATACATAAAGTAAACATAGCAAAATCAGTGATAAATTGAAAGGGAAAATAACATTAACTGAAAGATTTGGCCTACCATTAATCAAAAAATACATGTAATTCATTTAAGAGGCAAGGATATTCTATGGATTTCTAATGCTTGGAATATATTTATGATGATTGCATCATCGTCATCATCATCATTTTTTTTTGAATATTTCTCGCTCAGTATAGCAGACCATCAAATTCAAATCTATAAGCCACTCATCCGATATCTTATTGTGCAAATCTGTCTTGAAATGCTCATGCTTGAAAATATGCGCTCCACTCAATCAATAGATTAGTTTGCAGAAATTGAATAGAATAATAGAAATAACCAATACAGCCAAATACGCAGCAACCAGCAAGACCATGATTCCATTTATTCAATGACTCACCGGACGCTAGTTTATCCTGCTGCTGTTGGCTGCTCCTCGCCGCGACGCCGCCTGACCCGCTGATCCTGAGCCTGCTGCTCTGCTAGTGCTAGCGGCTGCTGTGGTGCTGCTCCGCGCGCTGCCACGGCGCGTCGGCGCCTGCTGACGCTTCTCTGCGCGGCCGCTCCGCCTGCAGCCTGCCGGCTTCCGCGCCCCGCTCGCGCCTGCGGCCGCCTACGCTTGCTCTTACTCACCACCGGACAGCTAGCTACGACGCTGCAGCCTGCAGCTCGAGGCCTCGAGCTCTTGCGACTCGCGTCGGCCGTCGGCGTCAGCCGTTCCCAGCCGCCAGCCCCCACCCCAAACGCCCCCAACCCTAAGTCCCCACCTGACCTGTGTGAGTGTGTAAGTGTGGGAAGTGGGCCACTGGACTGGGCCATTACTATCGAATTGGGCCAACCTAGTTTATCTGCATACCGCTTCGCTTCTTCTCTCTCATGTGCCCTGTTCATCTTCTTCCCAGCGCCGAGCACATGTCGCCATGAACTCCAGGACGCCGGCTGATGCTTGAGGATACCTAGTTGATTTTTTTTTTTGCAAAAATTGGAGGGTAGGCTAGAGCCTGATGGAGCCTACCTGCTAGAATCGCCACTGACCCGTACAATGCCGGGATTATTTATGACCTATTTGGAAGGCCAGTATTGAACCTAATTAAAAGCGATAAAATATAAGCCTATAATATTTTTTCGGGATTTGCTAACCATCTGCCTGCTGTTTTATTTTGCTTTGTCAGCCGGATTTTGTCACCGTTGGATTGTTTTCAAGATTTGTGATGGCTATCGGGCCCGCAACTAGTTTTTAAAAATTTCGCGGTAACACGCTAATATTATGAAGCGGAGCCTAGTTAGAGGGTTTCTTTCTCACTTGTATTCTTGGGTCACCGAGATTTACAGGTGTTTTATTTTTAAACGTGAGAAAAAAAAAGAGATTTCGGTAATCCCCCGCCCCCAACCACCGATATGCACCGCGTCCCGAGTGCCAACAGGACTCTGATTATTTTCTCAAGTCTTCTCTTTCGATTGATCTCTTAATTTATAAATCCAGCAGTTCATGCTCCTTAATCACGCAGCCATCATGGGAGGATTGTTCAACGTCCGCAACTGCTTCTGCTTCGCCGCCGGCAAGTCAGACGCCTCGCGCGGTGGCGACAGAAAGAAGAATGTCGGGGCCAACAAGAAGGAGATCAACCAGCCGCCGGCGACCTCCACAGGAGGGAAGCGGCGGCTAGCCACCACCCCCGCCGCCGCGACGACCAGGGCGGATGTGAGGCCAAAGCTGCAACCGACGACGTCGTCCAGGCCGGCGGCGGGTGCTGCCGCCGTACGCGCGGACACGAAGCCGAGGAAGCACCCGGCGGCGGCTACCGCGAGGGCTCACCGTGGAGTGGAGCATCGGCGGCGCGCAGCTTCTCGACAGACGACGCCGGCGAAAGATGAATCTGCGAACTTCATGCTGATGACGTTCACAACATTAATCTTTCTAATGTAGATAGGATCATAGGAGTAGAAAACTTTCTTCTTCAGTTTTTTTTCCCAATGTTTCTTAGTTCTTACATGCAATGCAATGGAAGTCGATCTATATATAGCGTTCTAGTGCATAGCAGCTATTTCGTCTTGTTTTATATACACATCATCAAGGTATAGAATAAAACCTGTTATTATATATAGAGTAAATTACACTAGCGGGTCCTTAAACTTGTAACGAAGTTTCACTTAGGTCCATGAACTTGCAAAACACGTATCGAGATCCTTAAACTTGGTTTAATGTATCATTCGGGTCCAAAGCCTCGTGTGACCGTGGTCTTACCTACATGGACGATGACATGGAATTTTTATTTTTTTTCTCCTTTCTTCCTTCTTTTATTTCTCCCTTCTTATGCCTTTTTTTTCTCCACTTTGCCTCCTTCCTCTCTCTTCTGCCGCATTTTTCTCCACGCGAGGTGAGGAAGGAGAGAAAAGATGGGAAGAAAAAAAGGGAAAAAGAAAAATTAGCCATGTCATCGTCCACGTGGCATGACACATAGGTAAGACCAAGGTCAAACCAGGCTTTGGACCAGGATGATACATTAAACTAAATTTAAGGATCTCGATGCGCGCTCTGCAAGTTCGTGGACCTAAGTGAAACTTCGTTACAAGTTTAAGAACCGCTAGTGTAATTTACTCTTATATATATGCCGGTAGCTATACATAGTTCACACACGTACAATCATGGTTTAAAATTTTGGCTCGAAATTTCCAAAATTTGGGAATTTTAGACTTCCTGACACGCAACTATCACGTCCAAAACTTTTAGATCTTTTTTTTTTTGAAGCTAGTCGAAATTTATACAGTTCAGTCAAAATTTCTTTAAATTTTAAATAATTTCATTTCGAAATTTTCTGAAATATTTTGTAGCACGAGGATATGGTTGTAATTGAATGACCTGATAAAGTAAAGAATAAAATATTGTTCAATCCAGGAAGTATCGTGGTGTGTGATGGTTGAGAGGATGCACGACTCTCCCTTAGAGTTGAAATCTTAGGCTCTGTTTAGATCCTGCCATAAAATTTTTCACCATATCATATCGAACGTTTGAACAAATACATGAAGTATTTTTTTTGCGAGGATGAAGTATTAAATATAGACTAAAAAATAACAAATTGTACAGATTGTGACTAATTTGCGAGATGAATCTTTTCAGCCTAATTACTCCACGAATTGACAGTGTGGTGCTACTATAAATATTTGCTAATGACGAATTAATTAGGCTTAATAAATTTATCTCGTGGTTTACTGACAGATTCTGTAATTAGTTTTTTACCGGAAAAATGCACGTGCATTGCAACGGCTAAAAACATTTTTTCAGTGGTACAACCGCTATTACGAACTAAGCGATGAATTGAAATGTTAGGATTATTATATATACATTATAATTGAAAAAGTTAATAAAAATTATTCCTGGGTTTGGGCCAAAAGCACATTCTTTCCTTTCTTTTCAGTCCCAACCTAGTTTGGTACCTCCCTCACCTGATCTCTCCGATCCAAACCCACGAGTGGAGCTATAGGCCCAGCTCGCACATTCGACTGTCGTCTTCAACCTCAAGATAATCTTGCCAATACGCTGGAGCCGATCCTCCCCATAAAATCCTCTAGCCGAATTTTATTCTATATAGATTGGTTGAGGGTTTTTTATTCACTCGGTCTCCTCTTTCCGTTTTCCCAAAATCAGAATGAATCAGCAAAATTCGAGATAAAAAGACCAGCCGACTATCATCGGCCGCTAAGACTAAATCTAGTGAATTAAAGCCTAATATCATCGGCGGCTAAGACTAAATCTAGTGAATTAAAGCCGAATTGAAAGAAAAATTATGAGAAAAAATGATGAGTGAAGAGTGGGGAATCCAATTTTACAATCAATTGGAGCACAAAACACATGGGAATATATCGAAGTGGCCACGCCACGGCGTTAGGGTTTGCTCAAGCAGCTGCGTCGTGCAACTGATCAGATGAGATAAAAAACCGGCTAAAAAAGGGATGGAAAAAACAACGAAAAAAAGCACCTAAAAAACGGAGAAAAGAAACCGGATAAAAAACAAAAAAGGGGAAAAAACGGAATCGGAAAAAAAAGCAGCGAAAAAAAAAATGAATCGGAAAAAAACAGCGAAAAAAACAAACAGACAAAAGGATATAAAGATAAAATTAGAAACCTACTCAAACACGGATGACGTACCAAAATCTCGGCAAAAACATCTTCAATTTTTATAATAGTAGAGATTAGTGTCCGAATACTCCATGCGTCAATCTATATAATACCTGATGTAACACGCCAAAACTTTACGTCCCTGGATCTAAACACTCCCTTAGTACCCCGCACACGGATTTAAGACCCACGTAAGTGTGCTTCAATAGGAATAGAGCTAGCGATATGACATTAGTGTTTTCTATTTAGACATGTTTTAGATGGCGCACTCGTATATGCTAGCGATATAAAAAAGACAGTCATGTCAAAACAAATAATGTTGGTTGCACTACTACAGAAAACAAGACGAACTCCGGTTTTTAACGGGAAGGCTACCACTCGAAGCAACACCATTGTTTTCTCGACACTAGTTCTTGCGATAAATCGGCGGTGGAAATGTCCTAGTTTTTTAATTTTGTAGGAACTAGAAATTCAAAAAAAATATTGTAAATTTTATTAGGCAATTATATCACTATCACTACAGAATTCCACTAGTCCAAAAAAATTCACACCTTTGCAGATGTAGGATTCGAAACAGAGCTTATCACTTAAAAAATTATCAAAAATTCAAATTATATGTACAAATATTTGAAAATTTCTAATGAACAGACTATTAAAAAGTTGTAGACTTCTTCCAGCTCGATCTACAAGTTTGTTTATCATCCAATATGCGAAGTTATTTATTTTTATAAACTGTTATTTAAGTATCAGTGTCAATTGATTGGATAGTTCTAACAACCATCAATTTCGGTTCTGGTATTAACCAACCACTACTAAAACATTTTTGCATGTGGTCAAAACCCATCACTACTAGAAAAATCATTTGTTGCCACGAAAAAAATTGTGGCATCAATACTAAAATTATGGCAATAGATACATGTTGCCACAATTGTAAAATCGTTGCTAGCCGTGGTAATAAACAGCGTGGTAATAGGTTATTGCAACGATTTTTATTTTGTGGTAATAACTTTAGATGTTGCCACGGAATGGATGTGGCAAAAAGTCATATTGCAACACTTCACATCGTTGCAACAAAATTTATTGCCACCACTCCATATGTGGCATTAGTTTTACGTACCAAATTAAAAGTTCAAATATTAATCTATCATCCTATCTATTTATCTACTTATTTTTTTTGATTTTGTGTCTTGGCTAGGATTCGAACCCAAGACCTATCCTTCACGTGTGCTCTCCTTTACCAACTCACCTACGCATCAATTCTGTTGGAAAATGCATATCGTTTCATTTGAGTCTAGCTAACTGAGATTTGAATCATAGATTTGAATATCTAAAAGATTTCAAATAAAAAAGTTATCACCTATAAAATTGTAGATCTCGTCGAGAGCTATAATTTCCATATAAAATTTGTCTCAATCTGTGTCCATATGAAAAAATTAAGTTAAATTATGAGACGACAATTTTTTTGTTGCAACGAATTTGTTGATCGTGGCAACAAAAAAATAGTGAAAAATACCATGTACTATATAAATTGCCACAAAAATTAAAATTATGGCGATAGAACATGTTTTTTTGCAACAGTACGATTTTTTGTGGCGATATCTCATTTTCTATTGCAACAAAAGTACTAAATGAAACAACGATTGTAGATCATTACAATAAAAAATAATTATTTGCCACAGAAAAATTAGCATTGCAATAGTATAATATATTGCTACGAATTATTTTTTATTGTAATAATTTGGTGGCAATAGCTCAATTATCTTGTAGTGCATTTATCCATGCGGTGGGACCGCCTGTCTACCCGAAAATGTCTGCGAAAGTCATTGTTTTTAATGTGGTTGGCACACCCGCACGCTAAAATCCTCATGTGCGGATACTTATATCGTCTGCACTTAAAAAAAAGATTAAAAAAGAACCCCAAAAATAAAAAATCGAAACCCTAGCTAGGTCCCATCTGACAACGACGTTGTCGACATAGTCCACTGTCGCGAGGCCACCGTCATCCCCACGCCTCCACTGCCCCTCCGTGACCGGATCCACGCGGGGGAGGGCCTTGTTGCTACCGGCGTTGACGCGTGCCTGCTCCTGCCGCCGGATCCGCGTTTGGGGAGCACAGGGGAGGGCCACCACAGTCGCATCCGCACGGGGAACGGCCGTCACCGCCGTTTCGGCGAGGGGGTAGGGACACCGCTGCCAGATCCGCATGGGGAATGACGCCTCCTCCGCTGGCCTCCGTGTAGGGAGGGCTGCCGCGAAGAGGAGAGGAGGTAAGAAAAAAGGAGAAGAGACGAGAGGAGGTGAGAAGAGAGAATTAAGATGAGATGATAAGGGAGGAGTGGGGATAGAGTGAGGAGTGGAGGGAAGAAATAGATAATTTAAGAGGTCCGCCTACGAAAATACGTTTATTTTTGCATGCGGGTGTGTTGAAAGATCCGCCTACGAAAATTGATTTTTGCATGTGGGTCTCTTGTGGAGTCGTTTGCGAAAATAAACGTCGATTTTGCAGGCGTGATCCACTTACAATATATAGGGGCTTTAGTTCATAGAAATCGTTTCTGTAATACTGAACAGTTATACCTGCTTCCTATGACATCGACTTCTACACGGGCCGATATTGATACTCGAGTAGTACTTGCCGGTTTCTTCAATAGATAGAAACATATCACTGCCGGTTCATGTCATACATGATGGTTGATGGTTCATGTCATACATGATGGTTGAAAGAAGCACTCTACTCAAGCTAATTGTTGGGCATATTTGGAAGAAACCTCAGATGTAGTGATCATAAATGTGAGTACAGCCTGAGCTTTCAGCTGTTCAATTGATATACCAAATGAAATGCACATGATATATGAAATAGAGAAATTCACTTTAAACCACATTCTATTACCATTGTTTTACTTTGGACTACCATTTAACCAATATTTTCACTTTGGATCAGGTAATCTTACTTTGTTTGATTTTGGATTACGCCGACTCTCTTCTTAAGCATATGAATGATCTCGAGCACGTCAGCTTCTAATAAATATGTAATACAATTTCTTTAGCATATGACAAGCTGAATGTAGATGGTTAAAATAGTTGAGTGTGGTCTAAAGTGTCATAAAGATAAAAATATCCTATCTAAAGTTAAAACACTGGTTAAAGGGTGTTCAAATCGAAACATTTTAATATTTTCTAAAGGGAGTAATAAGTAGCCATATTTTCTATGAAAAAATAGTTAACATATTTACATTGTACCTCCCAAAATTACATATCTAATTTTAGTGTATTCACTGCTGGAGAAAGGGTTTTTAACCCCGGTTCATAACCCCTTTAGTCTCGGTTATACAATGGAGACTAAAGATTGTTATCTTTAGTCCCGGGTACAATAACCGGGGTTAAAGATCCATCTTTAGTCCGGGTTAGTGTTACCAACCTGTACTAAAAATGGATCCATCTTTAGTCCCGGTTGGTGTTATCAACGAGGACTGAAAGATGGAAGAGACCAGGTCGGGATTGACATATTGATTTCACTCCATTCCCAAATCATCCCTAAATTATCGCTAAATCACAATCAATCATCCCAAATCATGAAATCCCCAAATCATCTCCAAATCACATCATACATTACAAATTCTCAAAGATGGTTACATCACAAATTTTAAAAAACATCACATATTCACATCACAGTCAAATATTCCATCCATTCCCTAATATTAGGGATTTTGGCATTTTACTTGCACTGTTTGACCATTCGTCTTACTGAAAATTTTTTGGAATTATTATTATTTTTGACTTACTTTATTATCCAAAGTACTTTAAGCACAACTTTTCATTTTATATATTTGCACAAATATTTTGAATAAGACGAGTGGTCAAACTGTGCAAACAAAATGTCAAAATCCCTTATATTATGGGAAGGAGGGAGTACATCACAAATTATCAAAAAAAATCATCACAAATCCTAAAATCCGGCCGCACCCAGGCTGACCGCCGTCCGGCCGCACCCAGCCCCGCCGCTGCCAGGCTAGCCAGCCCTCCGCTGCCGGCTACCCGGCGTCCTCCTCGACTCCTCGTGCGCTCGCTCGCTCCTGGGCTGAGAAAAGATAGGGAAAAAATATAAGGAGTTATAGGAAGGAAAGATATAAGGATAGGTAGAGGAAAAAGAGATAGTGGAGAGATAAGGATGATGAGGTAAAGTCTCTGGTGGTTTGATCCATTTAAGACGTGGGAGGGAGATATTTAGTCCCGGTTGGTGATATCAACGTGACTAAGGATTTATTTTTAGTCCGCGTCTTAACATCGTCTGACACAAATAGAACCGGGACTAAAGATGACACCAACCGGTCCCGATTTTTAGTTTAACCAGGACTATTGTGGATTTTGGCAACCGACCAAAGATGGTTTCTCCAGTAGTAATTTACAATGTTATTCAACTTTGGAACTGGTTGTGGATATAATAGGATAACTGTGGACATATAATAGGAGAAGAAAAGATGAACTCGTATGAGAAAATTTATGGTCCTTGAGAAAATACCTAGAGTTATCAACAGGCATCTTTTTAAGGATGGTAAAATTACTTGAACTTATTATCAATTGTACAAGTCCACAAAGTGCTAATGAGCATAGAGGCGTTGGAGCTTGATAAGGTGTGTCAGTTAGTCGCGCTTTCGGATAGCTTTGATCTCACGCCAAAAAATCTGAATGTAATCAGCCCCAAAATATGTCGCCACACACTGATACTCGTTTAGCAAAACCCTTTTTTAAATTTATTAATATAACAGAGAGGTCATATTTAGTTTCTCCATAACTTGAAACTGAGTATCTAGTAGAAGTATATCACTAATAATCCACTCTAGACATCCTAGCAGTAGCAGCAAATGTCAGTGCTGGGTGCACGTGAATATTCCCGACAACTGCATACGAGCAGCACATGCTACGCGCGCGACAATTAAGCAGGCAACAGCAGTTTAGTCTCTCTGCACCGTCCAATTTCCAATTGTTAATTCGATTCACCGTCCCTTTGCCCCCAATCTTTCCAGCTCAAACCCCAAAAACAGAGGTGAAAATTAAAAATCAAAAAGGGATTTGATTAAAGGAGTGACCCGTACGTCTTCAGGCACACTCATTAACCACTCCACTTTGCTCTCGAGTGTGCGTCGAGCACTTGTTCATTTTTAATTTAATTTGCATCCAATCAAAATGAAAAAGCATTCACAAAAGGCGACGAAAGATGTAGCAACAAATTATGAAATGGTTTAATTCGTTAAACAATTCCAGCGACCTGTTCATGTCCTAGGTTGATCGATTCTCTACACCAACCTAGGGCTGGAAGAGGCTGCCGCCGGCGAGGTAGACGGCGCCGGCGGTGACAGGCGAGGCTGGCGAAGATGCGGCGAGGTGCTCGCCAATATGGTAGGCTGCTTCACCGGGGCGGCGCCGTGCGCGGTCACCGCGTCGTCGGTGGTGATCGCGCACGACGGCGACGACGGCTTGGTGGTGGCCATGGCCAGATCGCGCGCTACGGCCACCGTCTCGGCGGCGGTCACGCTCGACAGCTTCGCCGCGTCGCCCTCGGCCGACGACCGCTTCAGGAACTCGATGCAGTCCTCGACGGCCTCGTTCCTGATCGAGTCGTCGCGGCGGCACGACGTCATCACCGGCGGCGGCGGCGCGGCGCGCGGCGAGGAGGACGACGACGCCTTGCCGCCGCCGGTGCGCTTGACCGACGCCTTGGACACGGCGGAGAGCATGATGAGGCGGAGCACGACGTCGCGGATGCGCTCCAGCAGCGACACCGACGCCGCCGGCCTCGCCGTCGACGCGCGGCAGCCGCCGCGCACCAGCCGCGGCATGCACGCCGTGGTCGCCGCCTTCATGCTGTTGCTTCGCATTGCGAGCTACGAGCTAGCTAGCTGCTTTACTAGAGCTAGACTGGAGCGAGAGTGAGAGTGAGTGAGTGATTAGTGATTAGTGTGTGATTACTGCACCGCGATATGGGGTAGCGTATGATTATATATAGCCACATATATAGGGTCGTTTAGAAGTAGAGATCGATCAGTGTCGTTTCTGGCTACAATTTTGTTTAATATTCCCTGTGTGATGGTGGTTTAGGCTCGATTTACGTGGTGATTGCTTGGTTTACTTTAAGCATCGTGTGTTAGAGAATTTCGGGGTTAGGATGGTCGCTTAGACTGCTGGCTTGTCGGTTTGTGTTGTTATGAGCAACATGGGGTGGCACCCTGTAAAGATGGAATAACATGTTGTGTTGCAACTTTCATTTGGACAAACTGGGTATCCAACAATTTTATTTATTGACAAAATTGTAATGATCTTTGTTAAAACCACATTACAGTTTTTCAAATCATGTGTCCAAAATTATGCAAACGTGATTGCGTTTTTAACAGATTTTATTGTTATTAGGGATTTACTTCTTGTTTGAGCTTCTCTTAAGTGTGTACTTAGGATGATACACATACTTACAAGTGCTGTGCGCGTCTTGTCCAAAATTGTGTAAAATATTTAAAAGCACTTAGTAATGTGCATATGGAAAATTTAAAATATATGTTTTGATCTTTGTGCATGTTGCCACACCAGTGCGATATCATCCAATGCTACTGTATAAATCCGACATAGGGTTGAAAAGTGGACGGCTGTGTGTGGTAGTTCAAGCTAGGATAATGTGAAGAAGTTTAGATTTAACTTGTGCACTTTGATACAAGTTTACAATAAAAATATGTGAAAAACGTCAACAAATTTTTGTATGGAGGAAAATAGTTTAGTACTGGGCTACTGGCCACATGCGAAAATCTTAGCTTCCCACGGCCGATCACTAAACAACAACAAAAAAAAATTATGATCTTGAAATGTCAATAATTTTTATATTTCTAGCTTTGTTAAGTCAGAAGTGGCTTAATTTCTTTTCTACCTGGAGAGAGTAGATTAATTAATTACCCATGTATAATTACCATCGGTTCAGATATATAAACCGTACGTTGGACGCACTAGCTGCTGCTATACTATATATGATCTTGCGTACCAACCGTCCATTAATTAAAAATAATGCTATGGCACCCATGCACAAAACACCATAGAATCCACGCGAATATCGTCATAGATATTCATCATGTTTAAAGTATGCAGAGCATTGCAGAAATCGTGATTGGCTCCTACTGCCTATCCATATGCTGAGATATTGAGCCCGAAATGATAATCAAGCCGTCCATTACAAAAAATTCAGGGGGGCTCACCTGTCCCCAGGTCTTCTCCTCTTTCATAATCCACCGGGAAACTAGCCAGGATGCTTCCAACATACATAATCTACACCCAATTGGGCAAGACAAAGTACAAGTTCCAAGGTTTATGATTTTATGTCCATCATCAACTCAGCTAGAGTACCTTGCATTTGTCCTCTCGATAGAACTGGACAAAGTGTTCAGATTAACTAGCAATATATCTACCCATGGTAACATGCATGGGCATGCAGCAGAGATATATAGATCTAGCTTAAGGCAGGGGCGAGTTGAGACTGTACACGTGGAGTAGTGCAGAGAGGTAATCTTAAAGTATTTTCCCAGTATTGTGGGCAGGTATACGAGGTGTGCATCATTCTTTAGCAGCTTTTGTACCGGCTTAGGCAGACAACCAGCTCTGGCCCTCACCTTGAATAAGATATGTTTTTACCCCCTCCCGTTTATTTCAAATTTTCAATTAAGCTAAATTTTCAGTTAGGCTGTGTTTAGATCCAAAGTTCTATCTAATCAACCTGTCATACACACACAACCTTTCAGTCACATCATCTCTAATTTCAACCAAAATCCAAACTTTGGATCCAACTAAACACAGCCTAATATCATTGCATTGAAATTTATAAAGGTAGAAGATAACTACATTAGAAATAATAAAACAAAAATAATTATATTAGGATATGGTAAAGTAGGGGATTCTAATTTTTTTTGTTTTTATTGATATGTGTGAAATGGGTGAAAATTTTTTTTTTTACACAGGGAGCATGGAGTACGTGCGTATCAGTATGCGCATTGCTAGCCATTGCAACCCAGCAATTAGACAGAGTAGCATTTCATCCTGTCCTCATGCACCACTACTACAGAAAGCCTTTTTGCATGCGGGCGAACAGCATCTTTGCATACGGTTGCGCCAACCGCATGGGCGAGTTGGTCTGCAAAAATCACAATTTTCACATGCAGACGGCGCAACCGCATGCGAAAATCCCGCTTATACCGGCCGCATGCGAAAATAAATTCAGCAAACAAAAACAAATAAAAATAAAAAAAATCCCAAACCCTAGCTCGCCGCCATCGGATCAGTCGCCCCTGCCACCCGCCATAGTCACCTACACCGGATCGGCCGCCCCCGCCGCCCTTGGTTCTGGATCCACGTGGGGCAGCGCCAGCCGAGGCGGCAGAGCCGCCCCACCGCTGCGGCGGTGAGGAGGGGGAGGGGTGGTCGCATTGGAGGAGGCCGAAACCGCGTTGGAGGAGGGCGGCCGCCGCCGGATCCGTGTTGGGGAAGGGCGCCAGTGCCAGATCCGCGTTGGAGAAGGCAACTGTCGCCGGATCCGCAGTGGGGGAGGGCGCCGCCGCCGGATCCGAGTTGGGGGATGGCGCCGTTGCCGGATCCGCGGGGGGAGTCGCCAGCGGTGACGGAGGGAAGTGGAGGTGGCAGATCCACGCGAGCCGACCGCCTCCGGCCATCGAGCCCGTGGCCGCTCCCCCTACTGCCATCGAGCCCACGGCCGCTCCCGTCCGCCGCCGCCGCGCGCCGCGATCCTCGGCCAGTGCCGCCGCCGCGCCCGTCCCGTCCCGCGCTATCGATTGGTCTGAGAAAGTGAGAGAGAAAGAGAGAGAGAGAGAGAGAAAGGAGAGTAATAAGTGTGAGAAAGAAGACTGAGAGGAGAGGAAGAAAAGATAAGGAGTAGTAGGTGTGAAAATTTTTGAAATAGTCGAGAGGGAAGGAAGAGGGAACATTTTTACATGCGGACAACTTAAGCGTCCACATGTGTATTTTTAAATTTCAAATCGATTTTTATGGCACTAGATTAACTCATATGAAAATATTATCAAAAACAATTTGTAGAACTCATTCTGAGTTTGATTCAACTATATAAATTTTTAATTTTAAAATATAAGAAGTTTAAATAATTTTTCGGGTAATAAATGATTTTAAGTGGAAAAGTCATGAACAACAAAGTTGTATAACTCATCAAGATCTACAACTTTTCTTTTGGTCATTTTTCTATATGGCTTTGTTTGAACTGTTTGAATTTGAATTTCAAAATGTGACAACTTCAAACAATATTTTCAAATACTTTATGATTTCAACTAAAAAAAGTCATCAATAACAAAGTTGTATAACTCGTCAAGATCTATAACTTTTATTTTAGTCATTTTTTCATCCGACAAAGTGATTTGTAACATTGTTCATAAAATGTAAATATCTATTATATAGTTTTATAAACTATAAGAGATATATGTAAATTTTGTGAAAATGTTAATATCACTTTGTCGGATGAAGAAATGACCAAAATACAAGTTATAGATGTTGATGTGTTATACAACTTTGTCGTTGACTACTTTTTCAGCTAAAATCATTTACTGCTTCAATATATTATTTGAAGTTTTGTAATTCAAATTTTTAATTGATAAAACAAAATCACAAGAAAAAATGGCCAAAATAATATCAGTAAGAACACAATAACATGATAGAGTATAATTTTAGAAACATTTAGGAAAAAGAATCATCCAATTTGGAGTTCATATGAGTGAGATACACTAGTTAATTTTTTAATTTTTTTAAATTTTATTTTCGCATACGGCTACTTAAGACGCCCGTATGGAAAAAATTGATTTTTCCATGCGGGCGCTTAAGGGAGCCTCATGCAAAAATGGGGTTATTTTTGCATGCAGACCTTTTAAGAGGCCTATATGGGAAAATCGATTTTTCCATATGGGTGTCTTAAGGAGCCGTTTACGAAAATGCCGCTCGATTTTTGCAGTCGCCACTAGTTATGGTCCGTTTGTAAAATTATAGGGTCTTGTAAAAAAATCACTTTTATAGTAGTGCACGCAGGTGCTGGATTATAGGTCCTTAATTATACCCTCCGTTTCAGTCAGTCTAGCGGATTTCACGCTATGTAAGGAGATGCAAAAAAAAAAAATTACATCAGTTGTTCTTGTTGTCCTCGCTAACTACTCCCTCTGGACTGATAATACTTGTCATTTTGGATAAGGGTGAGATTAAACTTTAGAATATTTGATTATGAATCATTTTTAAAATATTTATCATTCAAATATGGTTACTACACGTATAGATTAGTCTTAAAAAGTATTTTAATGAGATTAAACTGCTGCACAAGTGATCTTTCCCTCTGGTTCGCAACTGCCTATACTCCTGGTTATGCAACCGGGAGTCCCAATCCGGGACTAAGCATACCCAACTTTAGTCCCGGGTAAAATAACCAAGATAAAAAATGGATCTTTACCAACCGGAACTAAAAGAGGAGGAAAGCGGCAGTGCCGGTTGCCACATTTTCTTTTTTTTTTCTTTTTTTTCATTGTTTGGTTTTTTTTTCTAGATGCGATTGATTTTCTCCCAAATCGGATGGGATGCATATCCCCCAATAATCAAACCCTAGATCATATATTCACATCATAAATCCTAAAAAATATACCACAAATCAAATACATCACAGATTACATCTCTGATCTATACAAGAAATTACACATCTCAGAATCACAAAATTGTAAAAAAAAAAAGAAAGAAAACAAATCAGAAACCGCCCGCCTGCCCACCGCCGCGCGCGGGCCCGCCTGCCGCCGCCGGCGCAGGCCGCCAACCGCTCTCGTTCCTCTGCGCCACCACCGGCGCAGACCGCCAGCCGCCCCGGCGCCGGCCGCCGCCGCGCCGGTGCGGGCCGCAACCGCCCCGGCGCAGGCCGCCAGCCGCCCGGGCACCTGGACTAGAGGAGGCGGGGAGGGGGAGGAGAGGGGAAGGGGGAGGAAGGGGAGATGGGAGAGGAGATCGAGAGAGAGGAACGGGAGGACTTGCACACGATCTCGACCTCGATCTGTTTTTAATGAGAGGGAGCAGAGAGGAAGGGGGGATAAGACCGATACTAGCTCGCGCGCGGTTTTCTTATTTTTAGTAACCGGGACTAAAAATCTTTTTTTAAGTCCCGGTTGGTATATTTTTAGTCCCGGTTATTTATACCAACCGGGACTTAAAATAAATAGGGTCTGACTTGGCTCGGTAACTTCTTGAACCGACCGGGACTAAAGATCACTAAAAACCG